TTGACATCTGGCATTAATAAGTTTTTTTCATCACTTGACATATTGTTTTAATTCTATTTTTGTCATTTTTAGCTCGTGAAGAGCTATTGGAGTGGCTAGATTTCGCATTTTTCGGATAACGCTTCTCAGGCAATCACAACGTCACTGGAAGAATCCACGCACGTTGTTTGTAGAGGAAGCCATTTTGGATTTTCGATCACTTCATAATCACTTGTAATCAGCAGCATATTTTGAATATTCTTAGTTTACTTTATGCTCTTTTTATTGGACCTTGAGATGTGAGATTGTCGTATTTATCATCACGTTGGAAGAAGAATCTGAAAACAGCCTGGTTTGTCATATATTGGATCGATTAGACTCGGTCCAGATAATCTCAATCGTAGAAAAATTTCGTAACCAGAAATCCGAAAAGAAAGGGTTCTAGCCAATTTTTAATAGATTTTATCATATGTAGCGAAGCGAGTTTTGTGTATGTATGTGGTGTCTCTGGGGATTGATTGGGTGTTTAAGACCAGACCATGCGGCTGGATCGAGAATCAGAGGCTCGTACATGTAGTGAATTTTTAGTGGCAAACATTCTGAAGGAATATAGCGAAGTTTTATTGTGAAGCAAGTAGTATACAAACACCGGTTCTGCATCACGGGCCCCGTCGGGCTACCCCGGGCCCGTAGGGAGAGGGGGCGTTCTACATCATTGAGCTCTGGAGCCGCTCCGGAGCCAGCGCATCGGTCGAACCATCTGCTCCATATTCGGCTCTAACTTCTTGCCCCAATATCTGGACAGCTCATGTCTGTTTTTAGAATAGCCTCTATTACGAGGATTATAATTTTACCCCTCTTTCTCCTGGCAGTTGGATAATAGGTCATATCTATTTTTAGAAGTTCGATTTTCCAAACTCCTCCCTGGGTATCTGTCGCAGCTTTGGATTCGTTCTCAAACCTCTCCTCTGCATAACTAGATAGATTGTTTGTATTTTTAGAAGTTTGACTTTCCAAACTTCTCTTTATTCTGGGTTTATCCGATAATCTTTTTTTATTATTATTATTATTATTTTTTCTTAGACGGCCGGTTGATTTTTTTTTGTTTTTTGTTTGTTTTTTTTTGTTTGTTGATTTTTTTTTCTTTTCTTGACGCTACCGGCGCATCGAAGCTTTTCAGATTGGAACATTAGTTTCATCTAACTCATCTTTCTTTTTCTCATTGTGGTAAACACAACTCCAAAGAATTTATCCAAAAGCAAATTTGGTACTCATTCAGCGTTTGGAGTACCACCGAAATGATCAATCCACTCTCATCATTATCCTTAAAATGTACTTTTTGGGTCAGGGATTCATTCCTGTGGTTTTTATTTTGACTGATGTCTAATCATTATTCACTGTTATTAATTATATGTGTTTCAAACGATGGGATCAGGCACGCGCCATGATTTTTTCTTTTTATATAAGCCGATTCCAAATGTCTTAATTTTAGCTCTTCATGTCGTAAGGAGACTGAATTGCTTTCCTCAATAGTGTTTCTGAGTCTTGTAATCATGACCACAGCATAGATCCATCAAAAAGTTTTCAAAGTCTTCTGGAGGTTTTCACGTTTGCTTTTTGATTTGTATAATTAGCAACACACCTATGGCTCTACTATAAGTTTTCTTGAAGTAAACATATAATCATTCTCTCTTTCTCTCTCTTTATATATTTTGAACTTGTTTCCCAAAAATGAAACACACACCATGATCTTTACCATCGAAATACTGTTCTTCATCAAACATTGAGAAATCGAGATCATGACATGCTCAAAATCTGCTGAGCTTTTTGTTTTGTTTCTAGATCACCGGTTCTGACCGGTTTTTGATCGGTCGACTGCCACAGTAGTACCTTTATGTACTTAGAAAGAAGTACATATCTATATAGCTTTTGCACTCTCATTTCATGTCTCCCGATACTCTGATTTAAGAAACGCAGAGATATTTTTATAAACTTTTTATTACCATAACTAAACAAACTCAGTGTACGATATCAACACCTGGTGGTTTTGAACGAGAGAAAATGGTTTTTGTATAATTAAGAAAACCAATCATCCGACTTATTAAATTTTGACAACATGCTGCTGTTGGTTCGATAAATTGTTCACCATTTATGTTTGCAGTGTTCTTTTTCTTATAATCCAAGTAAGAATAGGTCTTGTCAGGCTTAAACTTCATAACTTTCGAAATAAATTGCTATGCTATCTCGTTGTAAAGAAAACTAAACTAACGAAAGCAGTTCCACGGAATGAAATTGTTTAAATAAGGAAAGCAGTTCAATCATCCATATTATCAAACCCCTTCGTGATCTAGGATTGAAACTTTTTTTTTCTAACAAAGCTTGTCGATCAAAACCAACTAGGTGTCTTTTCTAATTCATCAAATAACATAATCAGTCAACATTACTTTTCCGAATCTTTTCAGTAGTCAGTACGACATTATAAACATTTGAGGTCAACCATGTAATTTATAGATTTGCGAAAGGATAGTCATCCTTAGGCTTAAACAGATTAACTATAGCTCATTGTCTTCGTTGAAAAACTATGAGAGGCAATTGGGAAGTAAAAAGTGATATCCCGCGGTGGTAAAGTCAGGTTGGCGATTTGTTTTTATCGTCCAATCAATTTGTCATTTTTATCTGCTCTTAACTTTCTTCTTGGTCTTGTTAACTTTTCTTTGTTGCGTTTTATTCGCCAACTGCATTCTCTTCTTCTTTCTTGGTGATGAGAGTTCATAAAATACATCTGGTCTTTCAGTTAGTGCTGGAACTTTTACAAGACTTGAAGATTTCGATTTGGAAACATTGTCTTGATAGATAATCACTTTGACTTTGGGTTGAAGTTTGGCTTCTTGTAAATGCTTTCTTCTTTCTTTATGATCCAGTAAATGCACATCACCCAAATGATTTGATAACTTGACAAGATACTTTGCTCCACATCCAGCAACAGGACAATCCCGACACACTCGGTTTACCATCTTCACAGCTTGAACATTTGTTACGAATGAGAGTTTTCTCAAAATGTTTTAACTTTTATACAGGACAACAAGGCCAAAACCAGGACGGAAAGGCCAAAAACAGGACAGTCGGGACAAAACCAGGACAGTCGGGACAATCGGGACATTTTTTATTAACTTATTCATCGAAATTGTCCTTGTTCTTATTATTTTAGGTTCGAGCCATCGAACCGTATCACCATGGCAGCTTTCTCTCTCTGCTGCTTTTCGTACGGGCATCTATTTTAGGAAACACACGTGGTTTGGTAATCATTAGTTGAAAAGCAAAAATACAGGTTTTTTCAATCTGTTTTATTGAGATACTCGTACTCTTTATAAGATAACTGCAGGGAATGAATCATGCAATGTTCGAGTTTCTCTAAATTTCCAGTCAATTGGTCATTTTGTAGGATTTGACGCAAGTTCATTTTCGTCCTTGCTACACAGTAGAGAGAGTGGGAAAGGGAAGCCATAGGATTCCATGATGTAGGTGTATAAGAGACGAACCATTTGTCCATTTCCATCCCGAAGGGATGTAATTCCAAGATCTTGTATACCAACTACTCAGTCAGGTGAATTAATTCTTCTAAAGCGGCGGTTATACTGGTCAATCAGCATCTGCATGGCTTCTTCCATATTCAAGGGTTTGGGATAAATATGGAGTTTATCTTCAAACTCTACCACACGATTTGTCGTGATCTGTCTAATAACCCAGCATCGTCATATTGACTCAGTTCGTGAAGGTACTGATAGGATTTCACGAACCCCAAGGCGTCACCGCCTCTAGTTTTGCCGGGAAGTATTTGCTCAACCACCACCGCATCGACTTTTCCCAAACCTTCTTGACACATCGAACGACAGATGTTACACTTGAAAAGTTCCTGTTGTAGTCGTGGTTTGTTAGGAGTTCGCTGTCTCCAAAGAGATCCAATTCATCCATCTTAAAACTTACTATGGTTAAAATTTGCTTTGGGGAAGTGACCTACAATCTTCTTCTTGTTAACAGAGGTTCTAGTCTTTCTTTTCTTGAACAGGCTTTCGGCTCGTATAGAACTTCCCACTTTGCTATCTTTCGATATCCTTAAATTCTTTTTCTTGATACTACGTGTGGTGCATTAGCAACAGATACAGCAATGAGAGAAAATATCCACCCCCTGGGATTTATTAACCTTTTTAAAAGGCAGATGGTATTTCAACTTTTGTCTTCGTTTCTAGTTTTTCTTTAAAGTCATTTTACGAATGCTCTCATTTGTCATGATTTTTTCTCGTCTACTTATCTTGCGAGGTAAACGATGTTGCTCCTTTGAAAGATTCATGATGAAATGAAATTCACTTGAAAGTGTAAACCTTTTATTTTACCAAAGGGATATTATGAATTTATCATAAAAATGAAACATTTACTGATATCCAATTAAACAATATGAACTACTAGAATACTTAAGAATGTGTTCTTTTACGAAAATAGCTAGACTATAATAAATGTTTTTGACTTCAGAAAAAAATAATAGTTGGGCGCCACATTTTCCGCTTGAACTTGCTCTAGATCCACTCTTGCAGTATGAAATGTAAAGAAATTTTGATAGCGTGCTCTGTAAAAAGGATCCTTTTTTCGACTATTGTTTTTATTGAGGTTTTCTATATGCAAATTCACACAACAAGACTTTTGATTGCGATCGGATTTTATGTTGTGATTCGTTGCAATAGGCAAATAATGACTCAGAATCTTACTACAAGCTATTGTTCAACTGAACTACTGTGAGATCTATACCCATCAGATTTCAGCTTCAGAACTTTCAGCCTGTGGAGTTATTTTTAGATTATACCCACTTTTTCCGGTCAGACCAGTTTATTACCGGTACCATTAAGTCATGTCTATTTTTAGATTCACCTACTGCACTACGGCGAAATACATCATATTTATTTTTAGAAATTAGAGACTATAAAACTAGAGGATTTCAGTCCTGATCTCACAAGCCAATTTCGAACCAAGTTGAGCAGTATTGAACAAGATGGAAAACCAAAGTTTATATGATATGGATCAAGAAGTCGTTGAAGAACAGGTAAGGTTATTACCGCATAACATTTTTCAGTACTAAGCATTTCCTTATTAATTATTGTGTCTGATTTGATTGCAGGTCACTGAATTTCAATGTCCACAGTGTGTGAGACAATTCAAGCACAAAAGAGGGCTTGTGCGCCACCAAAACAGCGTGCACCTAAATGAGAGACACCCCTGTGAAAACTGTGGCAGAACGTTTAGTGAAAAATACGACCTCAAGAGGCACGAGAAAGTCTGTCCTGGCGGATCATCCAAAAGAAAATCCGACGATGGAAACGATTCATCAGCAAAAAAGCAGAAACTTACTGATGCAGAAATCATGGAATATGAGGTATATTGAATATTCAGTACTTGAACATGAATTCGACCTCCAGAAATTAAATCGAAATTTTTTATTGATTTACAGTTAGCGAACATTCCCCCTGAAATGTATGAAGAATATGACGGGCCGATCCTGGGAGATGATGATGAGGTTGTTTTTCAAAAAATCCTGAATGTTATGGCATTTTTAATTCTATTAAACTAATCTTATCTTAATTGCTTTTACAGAATGATGAACAGCACGGTGGAGGACCTGTCGATCAGGAGTGTGCTTTGAACAATAGCGCCACCAAATTCAAGTATAACCCCAATAAGAGAGAAAAATACGACCTGTTATTAACCTTGGGAGGCAAAAAGAAAACGATTATGAAACAACTTCAAAAACAATTAAAGAAACACCGTGGAATCAAGTGGTTCCTGTGCGTTCAAGTGAAAATGATGAAGTCCAGTCCTGATGGCAAAGATCAGAAGTTCATAGTCAGTGTGAAACGAGGTTATTCCGGGCGAAATTAATTTTTCCGAATTTAATTCCAAGGGCTTTCGCCCGGAATAACCTCGTTCCCAAGCAATACAACTTACCTATATTATCTTCTACTATATACTTGGTTATATATTGAAGAGATAGAAAACGAGCGCGCGTGCTATAAAGGGCAGAAAAACGACAAGCCCGCTACTTTCACGCCGGATTTGTTTAACTGAGTTTAAATACTCCAAATTTTTAAGCGTTTCACTTGTGTCACTGCTGCTCGAAACTTTAAAAATTTTGACAAAATTTTATCGAATTAGAGTAAATCTACTTATTATTCACGAAAGTCAGTTTTTCTGTCAGTTTTTCTGCTGATTAAAGTATCACATCTCTACACGGCTTCATATCTCAAATAACTTTGAGAAGTGTTCGTTCGTGTCGCTAGTAATAGCTGCCAAAGCATGGAGACACTTGTAGGTAATTATTAAGATGATTTGTTAAGATTTATCCGTATTACAATTCCTAGCTGCTGCGTACTTGGATCTTTAGACCGTAAAGGATACCGTGACAGTATTATCTATATCTATCTTTAGACCGTAAAGGATACCGTGACAGTATTATCTATATCTATCTTTAGACCGTAAATGATACCGTGACAGTATTATCATCTATCTTTAGACCGTAAATGATACCGTGACAGTATTATCTATATCTATATTTAGACCGTAAATGATACCGTGACAGT